GGTTTTTTAATTATTATTTTGGACTCAAATTTTGTTTTTAAGTTTAAAAAGTTGGATTCAAGTTGAATACCAAACAGGCCCATAATAACTTGGAATTCTTTGCTTACGTTGTGGGTTTGCTTCTTCTTTGCTGGAGGAGTGGAGCACGAGGAGACGGAGACAACGAGAGCCCCAATTGCAGTTTTGAGAAATTGAAAATAGGGTCACTATTGGGACATTGCTGCTATATGGGTGAGTATTTAAAGGAGGGGATCTAAGCAAATATAAGATAGCGTATGGTCATTTTGGAATGACATATTAGGAACAGGGGAGGTTTTGGGCACAAGCAGGGAAGGCAGCCCACCCCAATTTGTATAAACCCTATATATATTTATTATATAAAAGGAGGAAACTCAATAAAGGCCCATTGTTAGTATGAAAATTGTATTGGCATTTTCTAAACTCTAGCATAGGTCGGGAATTAGTGTGTTAGTATCTTTTATTGGAAGTTTTGGCGCAACACATTCAATCTCGGATTTTTGAAGTATGACTTGATCGATATGAGGAACTTGATTTCAGGTAAATCATGATATAATCATGTATTCATTATAGGATTCATAGTTTGAGTTATTTTCACTCAAGTGCTTTTATATTAGTCTTATTTTTAATATGATTAGATTTTATCTCTTGAGATTTTTTTCTAGTTGGACCTTATTTTGGTTTAAGTAAAAAGATCATTTTTCATAATTGACTTGGAGAGCATGTTTCTTTTAATACCAAATTGGTTTCATTGATTAATATGGTTTCCTTGTATAAACTAATGGGATTGGAAGTTTGCATGGGCTGACGAAATTGAATAGGATCAAATCTCATATATTACAAGATATTGATCACGTGGACTTCTCTTGAAAATAGGAGAATGTGGTCTGTATAAAAATGGCGTGCCTCTCCTTAGTTTTGATACATGTTTGATATATTTCTTTTGAGCATATAGAATTCCTAAGAAAAGTTGTTGTGCATATCATTGAGATAAGTCATCAAGTGCTCCATGTTTACTTGGTGATTTATCAAATACTTTCATCATTCATATTGCATTCATTTGCATATTTAGTAACTCATACGGTTGAGGGCACGAAGACCGTTGTGGCGGTTTGTATTCGGCGAGCTTGAAGCAATTGTGACCAGTATTGCGTTCAACATAAGGAGTGTCGAAAGATCATCCCGTGACAGAAGTTGAGTTACGAAGAAGTCGGTAAACATTATCTAGAATGTGTCTAGGATAAGTATGTGAGTACTTCTTGTAATTATCGTTCTATAGTGGATTTGTTTTGGATTGAGGAGTCTTGTGGATTTTCTCTAGAGGTGGGGTTTTATCATATAAAATAATTATCTGCGTATTCCTTTATTTTATGCTCAGCACGTTTAAGGATTGATAACTATATCAATCCTGCTACCGAAATTTATTTTTATTTGTTGATTATAATTTTAAATTGGTTTATTCACCCCCCCTCTAGGCATTATTAATCATCCTACAGGTAATTTCACCCACTCATTGGAATAAATAAAAAAATTGAACTTGCCTAAATACTCAATTCAAAATTCAAAAAGGAAACTCAATAAAGGCCACTTATTATAGCATAAATCAATTAACCTAGTTGAATCAATTAGGAAATCAAATACATATATTTATCATTAACGCCAAAACCCTACAATATAGCAAGTATAGCAGAGAATAGAGATTTCCACAACCCACCAAAAAAGCAAGAAGTTGATAATTGAATATTGAAACAAGAGGTTTTGATAGCATGCAAGTTGTGTGATACAACATAGCCTATTTTTTTAAAATTGAAATATGTGAGTATTGTTGTTGTTGTAATTGTGGTGCTATTACTTTTATTGTTGACCATTGAATTTCGATAAACTATGTCACAAGAACAATTGAATAGCTTAGTTATGTTGTCCATTAAAAAGGACGTGATAGAAAAATCTTGATTATGTAAATCAAAAAATGCAAGACGAGTGATATTTTGATGCATTTTATAAATTTTTTATATAAATTACATATTGTTTCTTTCTTTTATGTTATAATTGTGAATTTGAGTTCATATAAATTTATTTTAGCTTACCAAAAAAAAACATAATATACATATAAAATAGAATGCCCTATTTAGGTTGTTTGCATAGGGTCTCCAAAAACGTAGGACCACCGCTGATTAAGAAGTGGCTATTACATTATTTACATAATAAGGGCTCGTTTGGTACGTCGGACTGTATTGACTAATTTCTGTCGAATAATATTAATATATTCCGGAGGGTACTGACTGTTTATCTATAATATTATCCCATATAATTTTTGTCCAAAATCTCATCTTGGACTCAATATGTGGGACTGCCCTTAAATCAATATTGGGAAATTTCTTAGCCATTGATTTTTCAATTTTGTTCATTGTCCCACATTTAAAGGAACCATTATCACATCGTAAACCATGGTTGACTACATCTTCAAGTATGGTCAACAATACTTCTTCCTCATGTGTTTTCCACACCTTTCTACTTCCTTTTGATTGACTAGACTGTCCACTCTCCATTCCTACAGACAATATAATTTGCATATATATATGCAAGAATCACAATCTAATATAATAATAAAGTATCTCACAATCTTCCTGTCATTCATATCTAGGCACAATATAAAGGAAAAAAAATATATTAGTAAAACTAATATAAATAGAAGGGAAGATACCAAAATATTTAACATGACTGGACAACTTTTTAAATGGGTTAGGTAGGTTATTGAAATACAAGTCAGTTATTGGCTTTCAGTAGCTTTGCATCCAATTTGTTGTTCGTCTAGAATCTGCAGCTTTTTCCATGCATCAAAGTGAAATTAAAACTTCAACACAAAGACAGTGGACTGGATATAAGAGTACTTCTATCCATTTGTCATGACAAAGGGTAAGAGCAACTCCAGCAGAGGGTTGAGCCCAAGGCTGGGGGGAGAAAAAAAAACACAACGTTCTAGCAAGGAGCCCAAGCTCGGGTTGGGAGTGGGACCCACGAAGTCGGGCTGGCCTTCAGGCCAGTTCAGCCTGAGCCCAAGCCCGAGGGCTAGTGATGTCATGCGCGACGTCAGTGCGCGGGTTTAATTTTTTTTACCGTTGGCGCGTACAATGCACGCGCCAATGGTAAAAAAAATTTAAACTCTCGTGCGCTGACGTTAGCCTTGCGCAAGCTCCAACAGGTAGAAGACATGTGTCAAGCCCTGGGCGCTCCGATATGCTTCTCCTCCTCCAATCTAATGGATGTCATTTTTTTGGCAATAAATTTATGAAAAAAAAATCGAAATTTTTTTTAAAAAAATACAAAAAATTCTAATTTTTTTTTCCTATAAATACCTATCAATACCCTTCACTTTCAACACCAATCGTCATACATTTTCTTCTACTTCTATTATTATTCACTCTTTATACTCAACATTTTCCTCTCTTTCACCTTGTATTTTTAGTTCTTATTTTTATGGCTTCTTCTATCGAAACTGGAGGGGCGTGGAGCACCATGGAAGATGTTTCCTTATCTGAGGCTTGGCTCCAAGTTTGTCATTGTCCCGTGTCAAGCAATGAGATGAAATTTTTTCGTATGTGGAAAAAAATTCATGCCGAATTTTGTGAAAAAATTTCGAGGTCGACTCGAACAGAAATGACAATGTCTAGTAGGTGGAAAATTCTCAATAAAGAGTTGGGAAAATGGAGAGATGCCTTGGCAAAAGCGATGGACAACCATAGAAACGGGGAAAATCTTAGTGACGAGGTAAATATTTTGTAATTTTTGTTTTATTAAATTTAATGTCCTAATATATATATATATATTTAATATTTATTGCATTTTCAATATTTTATTAATATTTCTTGCATTTCCAATTGTTTCTTAATATTTCTTGCACTTCCAATTTATTTGTAAGGTTAATTGCATTTCTCTTTTTTTTTGTTACTTGCATATCCAATATATTTTAAATATTTCTTACATTTCCATTTTTTTTTAAATAGATGATTCAAGCACAGATGAGGTTTGGTGCAACTGGGCAAGGCAAAAAAAGTTTCAACCATCATGAATGTTGGGTGGTGGTGAAATATTGCAAACGCTTCAGAATTATTCCCACGGGTCCCGCCGTTGTGTTAAACGAGACGCCACTCCGTGATTCAATGACATCGGATTCACCTCTCGATTCCCCTAGGAGTCAAGACTCACCCATCGAAAAGGAGCCGAGGCCCATTGGGCGAAAGGTTGCGAAGGCAAAGAAAGCACATAATTTGAGCAATAATAATTCAAATTTTTTGGAGGAAATTGCAAGGTAGAACGCCATAAGAATTGAAATGGAGCATAAATGCCAAGATAACGAGATGGCAATTCAAGCTGAGTATGCACGAGAAAGGGAGTATTTGCGCAAAAAAGATATGGACAAGACGGATCGGGAAACCATGGCGATGGATACAAGCCATATGTTCCCTGAAACAAAACAATTTTGGAAGCGAGAACGAAGGGATGTTATGAGAAGAACACTTTTCCAAGATAATGGGCCTAGCAACACAGATTGGTTAAATGATGAAAACCATTAAATTAGTCGGCATACCTTTTATGTATTTGTATTTTTCATGTTTTCTATTAAAGTTGTTGTAATTCATGTATTTTATTTTAGTAGTAGTAATTCTTAATGACTTGTATTAGATTTCTTTATTTAATAAACAAAGCATTCAATAAAATACATTTTTATTCAACATATTCCATACATCAAAGAAAACATAATTAAAATAAAAAAAAACTACAAACAAGGCACAATAATAATAACAAACCACAACCAAACCATAATAAATAAAAAAACAACACAACCAAACCATAACTAAATAAAACATAACCAAAGCATCTATGCTCCATCATTCATCTTCATTGCCTTTCACCGCCCATAGATGCTCCATCAAGTCAACTTTACACCTTTCATGAATATACGAAGATTGCATATCTGTATATCAATCTATCATCCAGGTCATGAAACGACCATCCCTCACCAACGGTTCCAGCTCAAACGGTTCTCCACTTGGCCTCATGGGCATGTCATAAATCTGTGTCAAGGCCGTGTTCATTGGATCCGGTTTGTAGACCTCTAAAGCATCATAATCGTAGTCATCCTCCACAATCATATTATGGAGGATGATGCAAGTCATCATAATGCTTCAGAGAATCTCCTCATCAAACATACGGGCCGCACTTCGAATAATCAACCACCGAGCTTGAAGGATGCCAAAACACCTTTCGACATCTTTCCTGTATCCTTCTTGATATGTAGCAAATAATTTTTGCTTATGGGATCGGGGATTCGGAATGGATTTGACAAATATGGTCCACCTCGGGTAGATGTCGTCAGCTAGATAATACCCCGTATGGTAGACTGTATTGTTGACTTGATAGGTGATATTGGGGCCTTGGCCTCTTAAAACATTGTTGAAGACCGGGGATTGATCCAGCACGTTGAGGTCATTTTGGGATCCGGCTACTCCGAAGAAGGCATGCCAAACCCATGTGTCGAAGCCAGCAACGGCTTCAAGGATGATACTTTTTTGGCCTTTTCTATTTCCGTAATCACCTTGCAAGGCAGTTGGGCAATTCTTCCATTGCCAGTGCATGCAGTCGATGCTACCAATCATTCCTGAAAATCCTCGAGCTTCGACTTTTTGTAGAAGCTGTTGGAGGTCCCTGGGAGTAGGTCTACGTAGGTAGTCCTTAGTGTACAGAGTTTCAACTGCATCACAAAATCTTACCAAAGCCTCCAACGTAGTGGACTTCCCCATCCGGGCAATCTCATCCACCTGATCAGCATATGCTCTATACGCCAACATTCGTATAACAGCTGTAAGATTTTGCTTTGGAGGAAGTCCCAAAACCCCAACAACATCACACTTTTGAACAAAGTATGCATCATAATTGCAAATATCATGCATGGCTTTATTGAACAAATGGCGACGACCTTGGTTCTCTTCATCTTGCAAAGCCACTGCTATAACAATTTGTTCATCGACTTCTCTCTGCAACTCATTGATTTCATCTGATCTACGGTTTCTCTTATTTGTTTCTCGCTCTTGCCTCTTCAAGCATCTCCTAAAATCTTCAATTGAGAATGAATGGAGTATGAATTCTAAACTCTGAGAAATGAAAATATAGAAAGATGTGGTGTGAGAGGTATGAGCTGAGCCTCTGGTTTTATATAAAATTTTGGCAAGATAGAGATGCCACGTGGCTTGATTTGATTGGATGAAAATATTATCTGAAATTTGAAATTCATCCGAAATTTGATCCCAAATTGATATGAAATTTGAATATTGAAATTCATCCGAAATTTGAACCCAAATTTATCTAAAATTTGAATTTTGAAATTCATCCGAAATTTGAACCCAAAAATTTATCTGAAATTTGAATTTTGAACCCAAAAATCTTATCCGTAAATTTTATCCGATTATGAATAGTCTTGACACATAGGAACCCGGAAATCTTATCCGAAAATATTATCTAAATTAATTATTGAGGTAAAAAAATTTGTGAAAAAAACAAAAAAAATGAATAGTAATTGCCATTTGCCATGGCAACGGGCTGAAACACAAATACTATTTGCAAGGGCAACCACTATTCACGTGAATAGTAGCTGCCCTATCTCCCCCCTTGCCATGCCTGAAGGCAAATGGGTAGAGTTGCTCTAAGGGCAAGACAAGGGTTGTTACTAGTGGTAACCCTTGTAAAATGCTTGTTGTGTTTCCACCCATTACCATGGCAAATGACAAATACTATTCACTTAAATTTTTTTTTCTTTTTACTTAAACGATTAATTTGGAGAAGATTTTCGATTGCCACGTATCAATATTTATTATAAAAATTAGAATGAATTTTTCGGATAAGATTTTCTATATGAGATTTTCACATGGAATTAATTTTATTTATATGTATGAAATTAATAATAATAAAATTGATGGGTATGTATTTTAAAAAAAAAGTTTTTGAATTTTTAGATTTAAAAAAAAAAATTACGTTGCTGACATCAGCTAGCCCGGGCACACAAGCTCGGGCTCGTTTTGCCTTTGGGCCTGCCCGGTTATGTGGGACCCACCAATTGCCCGGGCAATTGAAGCCCTTTGGGACTCGCGCCTGGGGCTTGGGCCTCCTCCTGCCTAGGTAGTTTGAACCGCTGGAAGTGCTCTAATGTGTTTTGTTTAGAATATTTAGGAACTTCAGCAGAGAGGCTAAAACGTTCCACAACTAAAATGATATCGATTCTTTAATGTTATGTCCCACACTACCATGAGTGACCATATAAAATGTATCCTCTGGTATTATTCGCTAAATGTATCCTCATGTATTGTTCTAATCCTAATGTATTAAATTACTATATCAGAAACAAATAATTAAACATTCGACTAAAAAAAAGGTCAAAAATGAAAAACTCATAACCTAATTTTCACAAAAATTTAATAAAAAAAGAAAGAGAAGATGACAGAAGAAGAGAAAAGAAGTATATTGAAGAGTGTATGAGATAGAGATGGATATCCGGAGAAAAGTGAAGAGAATAATCTGTGGAGAAGATAGCAAAGAAGAACCCTAGGAAGAAGAAGATGAAAATGGTGTCTAATTTTTCACGTGCATATGTGTGTTCTTTTTCTCTAGCTCTATAATTAAGTGTGTATTATCTAAATTGAGGTGTATGAGTTATATTAGTTAGTCAAGCAAGGAGAGTATTAAAAACCCAACTCATTTAAAATAGTAGGTATTAAATAATACAAATTGACACCAGACACCTAACATAGACTATTTACTCATATCCATAGTTTAATACAATGTAACAAACATACACCAGTTTCGCAAACCAAAAAGGGCCTAATGGCTAAGACTATTTACAAATGGGCTATTTTAGCCAATTTCGCAAACAGAAAAGGGCCTAATGGCAAGAACACCACAGGTGTTAGCAAATAATCGAGTTGCACGGACGATACATTTTCCTCTGGGTGACCATCTCACTGTTGTGTCACAAAGTAATCAGAGCCGTCCACTCGATCAAAAACCCTAATTCCCTCGCTCATATATTATTTCCCAAACTCTCTCTCGCGCCTCTTCGAGCTCACAATCACTTACACACAGAGAGCCACCAAAAGCCCTAAACAAGGAGATCCAAAACCCAGAGCAGCAACCATGGCGACCCCAGCTATAGAGTCCGTTCAGTGCTTTGGCCGAAAGAAGACGGCGGTGGCAGTGACCTACTGCAAGCGGGGGCGCGGCCTAATCAAGATCAACGGCTGTCCGATCGAGCTGGTGGAGCCGGAGATCCTCCGGTTCAAGGCCTACGAGCCGATCCTTCTGCTCGGACGACACCGTTTCGCCGGCGTCGACATGAGGATCCGTGTCAAAGGTGGAGGCCACACGTCTCAGATCTACGCAATCCGCCAGAGCATCGCCAAGGCCCTTGTGGCGTTTTACCAGAAATATGTGGATGAACAGAGCAAGAAGGAGATCAAGGACATCTTGGTCAGGTACGACAGAACTCTCCTCGTCGCTGATCCCAGGCGCTGCGAGCCCAAGAAGTTCGGTGGTCGCGGTGCCAGAGCTAGGTTCCAGAAGTCTTACCGTTGAGAGATACTCAGCTCACCTTTTTTCCATTTATGGTATTTACTGTCATTTCCAATGATCTTATCATTGTTTTGGCTTAATTTCTAGTTTTGAGTTTTGTTATGGATTTTTGAAGTGTTTGGTAAAACCTTTGGTTTGGATATTTATGCTTAGTTATATTTTCATGCTATTTTCAGGAATGATTTAATCTTTCTTGGGTTCTATCTATTTGTGGTGTTTGATTCTTAGTCATTGTTCTATTCACTTGAATGGGCTTTTAGTGTCCATTGCCTTTTACTTCATTTGGTGTTCAAATTCAAAATGTTATCTGAGCAACTGATAACATGATCTTTTTTAATGAACCCAAATGCCTTATTGAGCTTACCTTGCTGTTCATTGTTATGGAATAACAATTCAAGTAATTTCATAGAACCAAACCTGGAAAATGTTTCTCTTGGTCATGGAGTTTGTGCCTTAAAGTTCAAGATTGGCTCTGATTGCATGGTTAGGGTAGTTGGAGTAGCTTAAGGTTTAGGCATTTCATTTGATCTTTGCTCTAGAACAAATTGGAAATGCATTTGACTATCACAATTCAGAACCCTGGCCTTAGGTTTTGCAGTCTTGGATGATGGATAGCAGACTTTATCTGAGTCTTTACTTGGACTCTGAGTAAGTTGCTTATTCCATTTGCCAAATGCGCTTTTTCAGACAATGTAAAATGCAGTGTTTGCGTTCTGTGTTAAATGTGATGTCTAACAGACAAAGTAATTCTTGTCAACTTCCGGGAAAACCCTTTATTAGATGTCTAAATTTATGCCTCACCAGGAGGACAACTTACCTCTAAACGGTTTCATATGCCACTCCCTCTGCATCTAGAAATTCCGAGAGAGAGTCGGGGTATGAAATTGAAGTCTGTTGCAAGTATGGAGGAATGATTTTCAGATACTGCATTTTCACTTACTTCGTGTATATAGTTTTCTAAGGTTATTGTCAGTCATTATCATCTTGTGAAGCTTGGCATGGCACAACGTGGGAGGGTGAATCAAATGGAAGGCAAAACGGTGGGGTGGGGTGGGAAGTTTTGGGGAGAATGAAATTTTGTACATTAATTACGTGGCAGCGTGGTAACCTTTAGATCATTTTGAATGGTCAAGATCAAAAGTCTTATATAGTCTCGTATGAAAGAAAACTGGTAGAGAATCCCAGATAATATATATTTTCCTTGGCTAGTTTCTTCAAGATAATGTCTTTTAGGGGTGCTGAATTTCAAGAAAATGTTGAGGATTGTGTTTTATGCTAGACTAGTTTTGAACTTTTCTTTTGGGGGTAAGCCTATATGATTCAAATTTATCCATTGGGTAAGCCTATATGTTTATAATTTTAGCAAAGAACCATAAAGCATAACTTGTTTGTTTCTTTGTTCATTACGAAAACAATTGTTTGTTCGATGAGACATGAGAATTTTTTAGTCAACAACAAATATTGAATTGAAAATTCAGGATTGTGATTGAACCAATTCAAAATCCTTCTCGTTTTAACATAATTTTAATCTGAATTTTGAATTCCAAATTTTCGGAGTGAGGTTGGAATACAAGTCAAACAAAAAATGTAGTGGAGAACTTTGTAATGTGATTTTCATATCCGAAATATGCTGGACAATCACCATATTTTGCAAATACCCTCTGTATTTTTGTTCCACACTCTTAGAGCAAGTACAGCGCTGCTGGTTTGCCCGGGCAGCAGGGGACCTAAGCCCATCTTTTGGCTCTAGCGCACAAAGGCAAGACTAGGCAATTGATGAGGGCTACAAGCCTGGGCAGGCCCAAAGGCAAATCTTGCTTAGGTTTGCTGACGTCATTGATGACGTCAGCAACTAAAAAAATTGAAAAAAAAACCATAATTTTCATAATTTTTTTTATATATAAATACTTAGTCCTATTTTTCACTTCTCATGCCAAAATTAATGGTTTAAATATAAAAAATATAAAATAAATAGTAATTGCCCTTGCCCTAGCCTTTTGGGGTGGAACCAAACAAGGGAAGGCTACAACTATTCACGTGAATAGTGGTAGCCATTGCCTTGCCTTAGTCTTTTGGGGTGGACTTGCTCTTAGGCCATCTCTCCAACCAATGAAGCCAAACCCAAAATATCCCATATTTTAGCCTATTTTGTCTCTCAACCCAAGAAAATTTAGGGGTTAAAATTTGGAAAACCCTAAATTTGGGGCCAAATACCAGTCCAGCTATTGCTTGGACTAGAAAACTTTTTGGTGGAGCTCACTCATGGCTGACGCAACCCATGTGCAAGGAAGATTTTGTGGGCCCTTCACTGTTGCTGTGTTGCAGTTGTTGTCTCCCCACGTGGCAGCAGCTGGTGATTCAAACATCTATTTTATTATTTAATAATTCAAATAGTAACTCAAATAAACGATCCATTCTAAATCCAAGCTATTTTAAAGGTAAAGAAAAAAGATCCAACAGTTGAAATTTAAATCTAACAATCAAAATAATATTTTTAATTAATTTAAATCAAATCCAACCCTAAAACTTACTCCAAACTCTATAAATATCCACCCATTTCTCAAATAATCTACCAAAAATATTTTTTATATTTCTCAATTTATTTCATCAATCTCCTTTCATTCTTGTGAAGATGTCCACAAAACCTATTTAAGAAGAGTACTACTGGTTGTCAAACACATCATCTTCTTCATTCTGTTTGATGATGATTTAGATAATGAAGAACATAATCAGAGGGTGCAAGCCATTGTCCACCATACTTCACTAGAGAATGAAGCCGCTCACCTCCCCAAACATGGTGGGTCGGTAGTCGGTCATGAGTACAAGAACCGTGAGAGGGAAGATCACCATCGCAATCTCATGTCCGACTACTTCGTTGAAAGGCCACATTTTAATACTACGGACTTTCGTAGGCAGTTCTAAATGCGAAAAGAGTTGTTTTACCGCATCTTGAATGATGTTGTCAACCAGCCATATTTTCACCCCAAACAAAAAAAAGACGAGCTTGGCCGACATTGGCTATCTCATGAGCACAAGTTAACCGATGTCTTTTGTATGTTTGGCAGACACAACCGATGAGTACTATAGATTGGGTGAAAGCACAGGTTTTGAATCACTCCGTCAGTTTTGTTCCGTTGTTGAAGCCGTATATGTACAATGGTACCTTAGGTTTTCAAATCTAGCTGACCTTTACAGGCTCTTGCACAAGGCGAGCCATTGAGGCTTTCCAGGCATGTTAGGAAGTCTTGATTGCATGCACTGGGAATGGAAGAACTGGCCATATGCTTGGACATGCCAATTTACCGATAAAAAAAAGAGCCTAAAGTTGTGCTAGAGGTCGTGGCCTCGTACGACACATGGATATGGCATGTCTTTTTTGGAGCTGCTAGATCCAACAATGATATCAATATATTAGCTCGTTCCCCATTATTCAATGATGTGGTGCATGGAGTGGCTTTCCAAGGTTGAATATATTGTCAATGGAAATCAATACCATTTGGGCTATTATTTGGCAGACGGGATCTACTCCCGTTGGGCTACTTTGGTGAAGACTATCTCTTCTCCTGATAACCCAAAAAAGAGGCTTTTTGCACAAATGCAAGAAGTGTACAAGAAGGATGTTGAAAGAGCATTTGGAATATTACAACCTCGATGGCCTATTGTTTGGGGCCTGCACGAATATGTTACAAGGATAAGCTGCACTTAATCATGATGACGTGTATAATTTTGCACATCATGATTGTGGATGATGAGTATGAATATATTGAAGAGGAATCTGATGATGAGGATACGTATCCACAACAATCCAAGAGGGCCACAGCAAGACAATATGAGCTGGAGGCAAGCATTACATACCAGTACCACCAAGATAGGCAGACTTTCTGTGATTACATGATTCGTCATAATATAGTTCGATCTCTACATGTGCATTAGAGTCTCCGATATGATTTGATCAATCACCTTTGGAGGAGCCTTGTGAATGAGGTCGAAAATTGTTTCAATCATCCTTTTGTGTTTCAATTATGTTGGGTGTTTTCTTTTGGAATAAAATATTTTTTTGTGGAATTTCAATTTTTTTTTAGGTCAAATTGTTAAAAATAGACTTAAACAATTGAATAAAGTTGTGGACTTAAAATTTGAATATGAAGGGTTGGGGGAAAAAACGGTTTGAGTCCGGACATAACTCAAATAGTTACCTTTTGGAGGGGAAAAATTTACTAATTTACCCCTAAAACAAAAATACCAGTAACCACTACCATTCCAGAAATGTGATAAAATCAAAGCCTAAATTTGTCATTCTCGTTTCCATGATTATTTATTGATTAATTGTTTGTATCCTAGCTAAACCCTACTTCCATTCCAACTATCTTTACTTTCTGCCCAAGAAAAAGAGAAAATTTTCTATTTTTTCTATTCTAGTTAGCAAAACGAACACAATATATAAGGACCCCAAATCATCAACAAACTCTATTCTTATTTCTTGACCATGAGTCGTTGGGACTAAGATGAAGGGAATTCTTGGTAGTTGCTGGTTTGGAAGAAACTTTGTAACCAGATGCATCGATCTTCTATTAATTTTGATACCTCATCTTTTAATATTTTTGATTAAAGGTAAGTATTGTTGATTTGTTGTTACAATTTAATTTACTTGAATATGTAACTGTATGACGTCAATTGCGATACTTGTTTGTTTGTGTTTTTGTTTTTGGTAAATAATACAATTTTGTGTTAATATATCTTGACTTCTTTGATACAATTCTTATGAACCATCTATGTGATGAGTTCAATACTTATATAATATTCAAATTTGTTACTAGGGTTGGAGAAGTCGAGGGCTAAGGGAAACGAGAAGCCAACCTTAATGGACCTACCCAACGATATCCTCCTCGACGTCCTTACAAGACTGCCGATAAAATCACTTTGTAACGTCCATAGCGTATCTAAGACCTCTCTAAGCATAGTTGATAACCCATTTTTTGCTAATACGTTTACGGATGAGGGAAATAAACTTGGAATTTTGACAAAACTCAGAATTTCTAAATTTACATGAACCAATTCCCGTGTTTGGATAAAAAAAACATAGAAATTTAGAAATTCCGCGTGGGAAAAAACATGGAATTCGGAGATCATAAATCCCAACTTTAAATTATATCTAAAAGTCGTCATTTCTAAAATCCTAAGAGAGGTAGAGTTTTTAAAAAAGATAACTTTACAAATAAATGTTAAATTCCGTGTTTTAAATCCATCACTCAAACAAAAAACTTTACAAATTCTAGAACATTAATTTATGTCATTTTAAATTCCGTCATTTATGAAATCCTTTGTACTTTTAAATTTTCTCATCCAAACGCAGTGTTACTTAATCATGTTGTTGAAGTACCTCCACTACTACAAAAAAGGCAAAACACGACGGGAATTCACCGTCGTGTATTCGGTTTTCAAACCGTCGTGAAATTGACCGACATCTATTTGGGTGTCAAACTATGACGGCTTTTCATCGTCGTTGTTTATCTGTAACAACGACGGTTTTTAAAGAAAATCGTCGTTGTTTAGAGGTAAAGATCGTTAATTATAGGAGGGAAGACGACTGTTTTTAATAAAACCGTCGTGGATTGTTTGTAAAGACGACGGTTGTTTTATAAAAACCGTCATCTTTACTTTACAATAGACTACCCTTTTTAAAAAAAACCGTCATTTTTACATATAATAGACGACCCTTTTTTAAACAAACCGTCATCTTTACATATAATAGACGACCCTTTTTTATATAAAAATTGTCATCTTTACATACAATAGACGACCATTTAAAAAAAAAGTCATCTTTACTTCACAATAGACGACCTTTTTAAAAAAAAACCGTCATCTTTACATATAATAGATTACCCTTTTTAAAAAAACCGTCATCTTTACATATAATAGACGACCCTTTTTTATAAAAATCGTCATCTTTACATATAGTAGACGACCCTTTTAAAAAAAGGTCATCTTTAATTCACAATAGGCGACCCTTTTAAAAAAAACCGTCATCTTTACATGCAATAGATGACCCTTTTTAAAAAAAAACCGTCATTTTTACATATAATAGACGACCCTTTTTTATAAAAAATCGTCATCTTTACCTATAATAGACGACCCTTTTTTATAAAAACCGTCGTTAATTATCTGTAAAGATCATGATTTATTATAAAAACCGTCGTCTAATAAGTTTCCAAACTGCTACATTTTAGTTCTTTTTGATTTCCCATGATGCTATACAACGATTTTAACTAGAAAACCAACCATAATGCTTTATTAATGAATATATAATAGTTTCTTTCATAAAACTTGAAGATTCAATAGTTATTACATAGTTAACCAATCTTTATTCTACAACAAACATAATTCCTAACCCAAACATACAAATGATGCACAACTGAAGTCTCCTCCATCATCCCTGTAAATAAATCAAAATGACAAAGAGAGAAGAAAAAGCTAAGATTATAAACATAAAAAATTAGGTGGAAGAGAAATTTTACCATTGGTCCCATATTTGCATAGAAAACTTGTAAAATGAGCATAAAAAAGACCATCGAGAACCTGCAAAAGGAAAAATATATAAATAAAATGATGGTGAAAAGAGAAGGTAACAAATTTTCAACAAAAAAAAACATACGACTCACATAGAAAACCTGCAAAAGAAAAAAATTATAAATCTGCAAGCTTCCTCCTCATCTCCTGATAACCAAATCAGAAAATCTAAAAAGAAACCAGAAATATAAGAAAATATGTAAACAAACCAGACAAATCAAGAGAGACAAAATATGAAATTAGGGAGACAACGAACATACCAGAAACGCAAAGAGACTAATCCAGAATTCACTAGCAAGATATAGAAGGGTATTGAGAGATTAGGTGACTTTCAAATCAAACCTTTCAACCAGCTTTGATTATCAAATACAGAACCTCCCTCTACATCTTATGGATCTGCGAAGACCTCAATCTCTCAACTCCTTCATTGATATCGATTTTTTGATGATTTTGTAGAGAGTTTCATGAGGCTGTTTTAGAGAGTGCAGGAGGGTTTCAAGGAGGGAGATATAAGGTTTTCAAAGATAGGGGAAAATCTGAAAATTTGTCGAGCGCGAATTCACTTAAGTAGCCTTTCTTTAGCGTGTTTTAAAAGACGACGCTTGTTAATAAGAGATAAAGTTTTCAAAAACGGGTGAAAATTTGAAAATTTGTCGAGCGCGAATTCACTTAAGCGGCCATTTTTTAGCGTGTTTTAAAAGACGACGCTTTTTTAAAATAAAAAAAAATTGTCATCTTTACATATCATAGATGACATTTTTTTATAAAGAGCATCATCTTTACATATAATACACGACCCTTTAAAAAAAACCATCATCTTTACATATAATAGACGACCTTTTTTTTAATAAAAAGTGTCATCTTTACATATAATAGACGACCCTTTTTTAAACAAACCATTATCCTTACATATAATAGACGACCCTTTTTTTTTAAAACAAACCATTATCTTAACATATAATAGACGACCCTTTTTGTTATAAAAAAAAACCGTCATCTTTACTTCATAATAGACGACCCTTTCTTTAAAGAACCGTCATCTTTACTTCATAATAGACAATCATTTTTTAAACAAACCATCATCTTTACATATAATAGACGACACTAGTGGATACCACAAAATCTTATGTTATATTTAACGAAAATATAAATAAACTCTTAATTGTTAGTGAATATATTGTTTTGATGGCATACGCATTCTAAGAAACTAGTTTCAATGATCCAACCGTCAAACTTGTTTGTTTATACTTCGAGATCATATACACCAAAAATTGGAAAAAATAAACATTCAGAGATCAAGTAACGGGACAAAAAATTTCTACGGTTATAAATGAAAAATCATGATTTAACGGTTATTTTAACTCCGATTTTGATGAATTTTTACCGCTACACTCCTTGACCCTATATGAATACAATGACTGAATTTGATCTTCAATTTAAAATATTTACACTAGTGGATACCACAAAATCTTATGTTATATTTAACGAAAGTATAAATAAACTCTTAGTTGTTAGTGAATATATTGTTTTGATGGCATACGCATTCTAAGAAACTAGTTTCAACGATCCAACCGTCAAACTTGTTTCTTTATACTTTGAGATCATATACGCCAAAAATCGGAAAAAATAAACATTCAGAGATCAAGTAACGGGACAAAAAATTTCAACGGTTATAAATGAAAAATCATGATTTAACGGTTATTTTAAAAAACCATCATCTTTATATTTAATAGACGACTCTTTTTTTATAAAAAACGTCATTTTTACATATAATAGACGACCCTTTTTTAAACAAACCATTATCTTTACATATAATAGACGACCATTTAAAAAAAAAATCCTCATCTTTACATATAATAGATGACCCATTTTTATAAAAAAAACCGTCATCTTTACATATCATAGACGACCTTTTTTTTTATAAAAAAACGTCATCTTTACATATAATAGACGACCCATTTTAAAAAAAACCGTCATCTTTACTTCATAATAGACGACCCTTTTTAAACAAATCATCATCTTTACACATAATAGACGACCCTTTTTAAAAAAAAACTGTCATCTTTACTTCATAATAGACGACCTTTTTTTTATAAAAGCGTCATCTTTACATATAATAGATGACCCTTTTTTTTATAAAAAAAAACCATCATCTTTACTTCATAATAGACGACCCTTTTTTATAAAAGCATCATCTTTCCATATAATAGACTACCATTTAAAAAAAAACTGTCATCTTTACTTCATAATAGACGACCATTTTTTAAACAAATCATCATCTTTACATATAATAGACGACCCTTTTTTAAACAAACCATCATCTTTACATATAATAGACAACCCATTTTTAAAAAAAAAACCGTCATCTTTACTTCATAATAGACGACCATTTTTTAAACAAATCATCATCTTTACATATAATAGACGACCATTTTTTAAACAAACCATCATCTTTACATATAATAGACGACCCATTTTAAAAAAAACCGTCATCTTTACTTCATAATAGACGACTCTTTTTATAAAAAAGCGTCATCTTTACATATAAAAGACGACGCTTGCCATACCTCCTGTTGTTGTTTTTGGGTCAGATTTTAACTCTGAAGAAAACCTTTTTAATAAGACGACACTTTTGTATTTGTGTGCGTCGTTATAAAAAAAATATTCAACAGTACCTCCGTTTTTTAGTTGTTTAAGTCACTTATCCACGACGGTTTTTTGTTACCGTCATCTTTTTAAAAACAACGACGATTTTTTCTTCTACTGTCGTCTTTTTCACTTTTTGTAGTAGTGCTCAACTTATGCTTCTTACTCGAACCTCGACTTTTATTCCTACGCACCGTAGCTGCTTTGCCTTGCAATCATTGAACTACAAAGGCGAGCACGACTTCACAAAAAGCAAGTATAGATATACACAGATTTTGTGCAGTCTCCATTATTACGAAGCAGATTTTGTTTTTGGCAAGTTGTTTTGCTTTAAAGGGATGGGTAAATGCGTATTGGTCAATCTTCTCAGAGGAGAAGTTCTAGATCTAGAGTTGCCAATTAATTACCTTGTTAAAGCTTATGATAAAAAGTGGTAAGGTATGGGATTTGATGGTATAACTAGGACTCATAAGATTGTTTGTATTGTTAAAAGTCAATATGCTTTCGGGAGGTTTTTTTGTGTGGCTTACGTTTATACATTGGACATAAGATCGTCATTGTGGAGAGAAATACGCTTAGTTTCTCAGTGTGAGTTTAGTAGCAAGAATGTATCTGCATACGGAGACATGCATTGGTTGATTTATCGTGATGTGGAGGATTACCCAATCGTATTATTTCTTTCGATTTTGAGAATGAATTTGTTTGGATCCCTTATCCTAATTCATCACAGGGTTTTGGTCATGGTTTGAATCATTTGCTTAACATGAGAGGGTGTTTGGGTATTATGTCATCTAGGTATGCTTCTCTTGAGATATGGATGCTAAAAAATTATGAAAAAAAAAGAGTGGGAGCTAGACTACAAAATTGACAACAAAATGTTTGCAACTGATCTTAGATCAATTGAGACTTGTGGTGAATGGGATGGGAGCATGGCATATTTTTAACTGATAGCTATCATGGTATGTTTTATTTTTGGGACGTAAGAGATAAATCCATAAAATACATCAAAGCTAAAACATTACTCCCAGGCATATTCAGTTATGATACTCTTCATTATCTTCATTGGAAAGGGTGGAGGCGAGCGAGTTTGAGCATCTTCAGTTATGATACTAACTGCATGATTTCCTTGAAGACTTTCGGCAATTTAGTTGAAAGACAATTGCGCAGGGGGACAATTTTGGAAGCACCAAATTCGAGGACATGGGATTTTGATTTTTTGAAAGAGAAGTCTTTGTAACTTGGAGTTGCAATTTTTTTTTAAAAAAATTTAATTTACTGTAAACTTTCATGGATGGAGACCCGGTAACTTTGTTTGAGTATCATTTACTGTTATATGCAAAGCATTATCATAATCTATATATATAAAGCAAAAGGCAGAGAATGGTGAAACATTCAAAATACCATAAAATACCATTGATTAATTCAAACATTATGAATTGAAATTATTAATTAAATGATGATAATATGGTAAATTCACATTTTTCATATTAACAAAATTAAAAATAAAAATAAAATCAGATAATAGGTCCTACTTTTATGGAATATAATTGCCTACGTTATCTTTTCTTAATTCTAAAAATAAAATAAAAAAGGAAAAAAAAAACCGATTGGCACATGCGTGCCAAGGGACTAGTCTATATATATAAAGCAAAAGGCAGAGAATGGTGAAACATTCAAAATACCATAAAATGCTCTTAGTTAATTCAAACATTAAGAATTGAAATTATTAATTAAATAAGGATAATTTGGTAAATTCACATTTTTTCATATAAAAAATAAAATTTCAGATAATAGGTCCTATTTTTATGGAACATAACTGCCATGTTATCTTTTCTTAATTCTAAAAATAAAATAAAAATAAAACCAATTGGCACACGCGTGAGGGCTAGTGTAACTTATTCGTAAGATGGCCTAACAGCTTTTCATCTCTTGTTGATTTTTATTTGTTTTCTTGCTGAAAAAATAATGGTTTTGTGTTCTTCTGGAATAAAAGATGGATGTAAATAATTGTGTCATTCATTTTCTTTCATGAAAATTAAGGAGTCATATTAATTACGGGTTACGGGTTAATCATATCCTAACACATCTCCTATGCAATTTAAATGTACACAACCACCTTATGCTTAGAGGAGCAATAATCCTGCGATTTTGTAGAAGAGTTATATTTATATTGATTAGTGCGATGCACATTGCATCTATCATATCACCATTTTTCAAAGATTTTCAACTATGCTAAATCTTGTTGTTGGTAACAATATTATTAAATGAATATCTTCTCCTCATCGTTGGTTGAGGATGAATTTGTTGAACTTTTAGTATCTGAGCCTATAAATTATTAAAGATGTGATCACATGTGAAAGGTGACCGAGCCTAAACCCCCAATTAAATTATGTGAATGCAAATCTTATGATATAAATACTATTATATGTGAACGTTGGGAAGGGTTTCATCCTTAAATGATTTTCAACTTCAAGACCTACTTTCACAAGGCAAGTCACTTGTGCCTTATTTTTGGTAAACTGGATGTGGTAACAGAATGTCTCACCTTAACCATGATTTTTGAGAGGGCTCTCTTAATCTGAGTAAGTTCAGGTAGATTGGACAGTAAAACAAGACCTATGGGACATACCCAACTCTCTTATGATTGTCCTAGAGGTCAGTTTGTTTGGAACATACGAATTCCATTAAAAATACAACAAATGATTTCAAACCTGTAATGATTGGTTCCAAACACAATCAACAATCAAGCATTGCCTAAGTGGGAAATATGAACTTTTTGTTGCCAACTTGCTCATTCTCATGCACCCCTCATTGCAATGAGCTTACAATTAGTGCCATTAATCAGTGCTTTTCCGAAAAAACCAGGTTACACCATAATGAAACAGTCTAAAGCATACTGCAAGAGCAATTTTCTATATGAAAGCTTGCACATGGGAAGGGACTGCAGGCTTCTACTGATTTGCTGCTTGTACTGTTTCGATACAATCGATTTGCAGTTTATGAAGCTTAGAGTCTAAGAAGCTTCTGTGGAGTGCAAGTACAATGGAAGCTCTGCATTTGTAATTCCGGGGTCCTTTTTCCTGTTCTCTCTTTTCTTTCCATCTATATAAATTTACCCGTTTTCCCTCTCCTTGGTCACTCTTCTTCGCTCTCTCAAATTCAATCTCAACTAGTAAAACCAATTTTCATCCATTCATTCGTTCATCTGACCTTGTCATTAACTTTCCCAACACCCACTCAAAAAGTGGAAGCTGAGCAGTACTTTGTCTTGCGCACAAGCAAAAAGAACCACATGGATCGCACCACTTGGACTGATCAGACTCCGTCAGCATCGGTCGAAGTCGTTGACCAGGAAGCTGCTGCAACAGACGTCCCAATTTTAATGGGCATGGATCTAGATGTTTTCAACGCTGCAAAAGAAGGCAAAATTGATGTCCTCAGGGGACACGATCCGCAGCATCTTAACCAAATATTGACTCCAACCGGTAACACAGTCCTCCATGTTTATATAGCTTATGCAAGCACCCCAAAGCTCGTCAAATCTAAAGAAGAAGCGCCGATCAAGCCAACCAGCTTTGTGGAGGATATCCTTCAGATTTGTCCGACACTGCTATGGCAGCAGAACGAGAGCGGTGAGACTGCCTTGCACATGGCGGCCAAACATGGACTTGCTGAAATAGTTGAACTTCTCATCCAAACTGCAAAAGCTCGTTGTTGTGAAGACCTCGAGCATGGGGCTGCCGCCTTCGCCTTATCATCATCATCAGAAGAAGAAGCAGCCTGCTGGAAGATTTTCATAAGGACACCTAGTAAGGAGAAGGACACAGCCTTGCACGAGACAGTGCGGTTTAAGCACCTTGGTGTGGTGGAGATATTGATCAGCGAAGACCCTGACTTTTCCTACCCTCCTAATGTTGCTGGGGAGACTCCACTTTATTTGGCTGCCGAGAGGAGCTTTGTTCTCCGAAATACTTCGCACTTGCAAGCATCCAAATCACCAAGGCCCCATTGGTAGAACCGCTTTGCATGCTGCAGTGATTTACGGTGATGAAGGTAGGTATATATAAATATAATAAACTTACATAATTAATTATTTCTCCTTTTTCGTTCATTTTCCCAGCAAACTAGCATGGGTTTACCGTACACGTATATTTATAAGATTATTATTATACAATGTTTTTAGTTTTGCATTGATTAATTATTCTTTTTAGAAATGACCGAAGAAATACTAAACAAGAAAAAGGATTTGGTGATAGTGACAGATGAAAAAGAATGGACCCCACTTCACTACGCTGCATTCTATGGTCATGCTTCAATTGTTATACAACTACTAAAAACTGATAAATGCAGTGCCTACATGGGTGACGAAGCTGATAAGAAGACCGCTCTTCACATTGCAACCTCCAAGGGCCATGTTCATGTAATGAAACAACTTATTTCCTATTGTCCTGATTGTTGCGAAGTGGTCGACCAAAGACGTCGAAATGCTCTTCATTCTGCCTTGGAGAAGCGTCGTCAATCTCGAATTACAAATTTTGTTCTAAAGGATCCATGGCTTAACAACGTCCTCTTAAATGCCAAGGATGTTGATGGCAACACACCCCTCCATACTTAATGCTCCTCTCCATACCCGGATTCCTTTCATTGGTGATGGTAGGGTTGATAAGATGGCATTCAATAAGGAAAACATGAACGCTCTCGACGTCATTAAAGCTAATATTAATGTTAAATATAAGGTATGATATTTCATTAAACTTGCTTGCGTGTGTAAGTACATGTCGGAATGATGAGCATTAATTTAGCCTATTTAGTCTTCAATGCTTTGGATTTGGGTATCATGATATGTGTAGACTTTTTCATTTAAGTACTAGTTATGGTTAGGTTATTAATAATCCCTCGCCCTCAGTTATTAGTTAGGTTATGATTTGTGTCAGAGACACAACTGAAAAATTGCACCACTATATATCTCTTTGGTCTGTGTTGCAGATATTTCTCAAGCATTCTTTGAAAAGGAATGGTGCAATATCAGGCCATCGAATTCTAAGCGAAAATGATCATGATGGCCAGAAATTAAAGGAAAACAAATGTGGTGCAGACACTGAATTGGATAAAAATATAAGAGAATCCCATCTGATAGTGGCTACACTCGTAGCAACTGTTACATTCACAGCAGGTGTCATCATGCCTGGTGGTTATTACCAAAGTGATGCATCAGGGGGAAATGCCATGAGTAAAGTATCAAAGCAAAATGTTATGGTCCCGGCCCCGGCACCGATTAAAGGAACAACTCCGGGTTATGCAGTTCTAACAAAAAATGTAGCTTTCCAAATTTTTTATCTAGTCAATATGCTAGCCTTGTGTTTGTCCACTTATTCCGTCCTTGTGCACCTTGTCTTATTGATACTCCCAGAGGGAAAAGAGAGGTACAAAGTATTTTGGCATTCTACTATATATATCACTATAACGTCTGTACTTGCAATGATGGGTGCATTCATTTCATGCACATATGCAGTCTTAGGTGATTCTCCAGCACTTGCTCACTCGGGTTTAGTTATTGTTGCCTATGTATTAGTTTTCTTTCTTTATGTTATAATTTTTGAAGTTGAGAGGGAGAACTTACCCGCTTGCTGGAATATATATATGTAAACTTACCCGCTCGTTTAAGATGATAAAACGTAGATGTCACATCGATTGGGACTAGTCGGTGGCCTCTCTTCCCTTCCAACCTTCGTCGATGCCTCTCCACTCTCCCTTGGGCTTTTATTAGCTTTTGGATGGCTTGTATTGCTTGGTAGTTTTTCCTGGATATGTGTGGCTGTTTGTTTGCTATGCGTGTCTTCATTTTGCAGATTTGGAGTTGCTGCCTTTTGTTTTCTACTTGGTGACGACAAGGTGGGAGAGCAACTTATGTATTTCCTTTTGTGTGTATCAACTCTTTTTGAGTTTAGTGCAAGTTTGTAGTCTATAGTAACGAGAGTTTAAAGGTGGTTGTAAGTTGGTGCGTTGATGTGTATTATATAAGCTTGATATTGTTGTATGAGTTTGTGCATTAGAATTGGTTTGTTACTAACTCAAGTTTATCATTTAATTTCAATTGCTTGTGACCAATTTATCAACTAAAATAGCTAATTCTTTTGGATTGAATGATGACAACACTGAAATTTTAAAAACAGTTCAAGATTAAGTTTAATTAAGCTTATTTTACAAATCACTACATGGAAATCTAGTTTCTTCTAGCAGCTGTTTAGTAATTAATAAAGTAGTTAACATAAATATTGTTTCTCTATCTACTTGTTTCTTCGGCGATGCTCCTTCAATCACTCCCACGACATCTCCTCCAGATATCACGTCCATCAGCTAGGCAATCATGGGTTGAGCTGCACCAAATCTGAAATTATTATTTGCATATATGCACTGCTATCTTTATGCATTCTACATTATTAGTTTCCATGTAAAGTTCTCTCCAGACCTGTATATAACTATGTACACCAATACAAACAATATCAATTACAATACAAATCCCCCTTTTCAACCTCTGTTTTCTATATTAACTATATATATATAACCAAGTCTGTTCAAAATGAACGATAACGGGAACACACCCATCCCTCAATGACTACGGAAAATTCCTAATTCCTAAGCTCTTGTTTAGGTATTGTGGAACTTCCCAGTTTCAAACCCCAGACAGACTGCAACATGCATCTACAATTTATAGTCAGCATATGTGAATTTAGGCTTGGGTTGTGGAGTCTCTTCCAGCAAGAGGCAACATGTCAGCACAGGACACACTGTTGGGGCACTCTGTCTCTACAATCCCCCTATCAATACTCCTAGTAAGTATAGACTCTTACATGCAGGATCTCACACACACCCCACCCCCAAAAGATGCTTCAGCCTCAAATGGATTGGAGAAGACCTTATTGCATTTAATTTTACCGTTGAAATGAAAAGGCATTCTCTTTTTGTGGCATATAGGTGCAATGCATACTTAACGATCACCAATCAAAAAGAGAAATACTAAAGACACTAATTTACCATTCTTGGTAATTATAAAATAAATAAATAAAAAGATTACCAAGGATAAAACATGCGATTTAGTCAGGCCTCGATTTCAAGGTTTTTCCATTGGCACCACCCCCATCCGACGAATAATCCTTGTATTTGTGTGGAGAGTTTTTCTTCCTAGTCGTTCTTGTGCAAGGGTCTTGTTTTCCTAGTGTTTCTTTCAACCCTAGTTGTATTAGGGTCTTCCTATATGCCATTTAGGCTGTGTTTTTGTAGATTTGTGTAGACCTATCGAGCTTTGGCCCCTTAATGTGTTGTCCTTTCATTTTTTGGGTTTGATGAAGTGGATCTTGCATTGAGGGGTAGAGTTGTTTCATTTTGTGGATGTACTATCAATATGTGCTTTGAGATCATGGGGTGATTGGGAGATGCTCTGACCACATGCCTAGGTGGAAGTTGAGCGGGATTTGCTCTTCCCCTTGAAGGTGTTTTGTATCTCAAACGGGTAGAGAGTTCTCATCTCTCACATAGTGAGCTTGGTTTCAAGATGTGGAATTGATTTTGCTTATTGTGTTGCAATAGTTATGTTTTATAATTTTGTATTTTGATATATTATTTGAAAGGACCCCTTTTTGGGTTGCGTTCTTAATTCCTCTATATCTTCTATTTTCCCTTTTATTAATGGAATTGGTATAGCTAAAAAAAAGTAATTTATTACACTAACTTTTGCAGACCAATTGATGTGGCAATGTTTCATTTGTTTTCATTTGGGCTTAATATGAATCTTATTTATTCTTCGAAACTAAAAAAGTATCACATCAGTTGGTGTCTAGAACTTGTTGTCTCTAGCATTATGGATTCAAAAATATACTCTTAATGCATTTAATCTCACCATTAGAATGGTAAGACGCTCATTGGCTTTCTCCTTTTGTCACTTAGGGGGTCAGTACTAAGAGATCGCCAATTAAAAAATATTCCACATTCTTTGGTCCATACCCTTAGGCCCCGTTTGGTTCACATAACAAATTTGAGAGGAAATCATTTCTCATGTCATTTTCTAAGGGATGGGAAATGAAAGATTCTTTTCCCATATTTGGTAATGCTAAGAAAGTAACCGGGATATATCATTTTATTTCCTTTCCCATGTTTGTTTTGAGTAGGAATGGAAAACAAAGTTTATATAAATTTTCAATTATACCCATATTAAATCAAATAAAAAAATGCATTTAATGATATATTGTAATTCTAAATTGTTAATGGGGACAAAATGGTCATGAAAAATGTTTATTTAATAGGGAGTTTCACTAAAACACCCAAAATGGGGGCTGAAATTATAAAAAAAAACCCAACACCCAAAACACTTTATAAACACACCTAAAACCCATCATTACACACACTCAAAACCCATTTATAAACACACTCAAAAAATATACAATTGTTGATTTTAGGGTTGATTTTGGGTGTGTTTCTATGTTTAAATAGTGCTTGGGTTTTTTTATAAATACATGTCTAGAATTGGGTTTATTTATAAATTTGTATATTTAATATCGGCTCATTTTCCAAAACTTTCCTACGATGAGGGAAAAACAAAACCCAAGTTGGGAGGATGACTTCACTTTCTCCCCTACTTTCCCATGGGCCAGACAACGATTTCTCATGCCTGGACTTACCAACTATAGAAAAGCAATTGATTTCTCATCCCCAAATCTCCTTTCTCATGAACCAAACGGGACTTACTATATTTATTTTTACCATTGAAATGATAAGAAGCTCACAATAAATGGAGAATTGTAACAATAGGCAACGAGGCAATCACTGAGAGAGAGGGTGACAAATGAAAGCTGACAAATGAGAGTGAGAGAGAGAGACAGAGAGGGAGTTTTTGAAAGACAATAAATAAATAAATGGAGTATTTGATTGTGTATGAGTTGTGTCATCTGTGACTCTTTCAAAAAAAATTCCAAATTTTAATATATTTATAGTAAATAATTTATTACATATTTTTCCAAAGATGTATGCTTTTTTCTTTAAAAAGCAAGAAGAAAAAAGGGAAGAAGGAAACAGAGTAGCACTCCTTTTTTGCTTCTTTAAAATAAAAAGAATTGTCAAAAACTGTTCGTTAATTCTTTACGGGAGCAATACCCTATCCGCATCTGTCACAATGTTATTTGGCTTTCCAAACATCAAAAGTGGCGGCCGGAAACGCACATGATACATCAATGATTCGAGTTCCCCAAATATAAATCCAAAAAACCTAATACCCACTTTGCTCCCTTCGTTTTCATTTTTCCCTCCACACTCATTTCCCACTCTTTGAAATTGAGAACACGTTATATTCCTTTAATTTCAGTGCTCCATTTGAATCTCAGATAAACCCAGAGTACAATATCTCTCAAACCCACCCAAAAGCAGGGAGAGAAAAAGAAAGGTACCCATCTGTTCCTCTTTAACTTTTGCTTCATCTTTCTTCTTTTTCCAGTTTTAGGGTACCATTTTTCTTTTATAATATTTTGAAGCTGCTAAAGCCCATTTCATTTTCTTGGATTGCTTCTTAATCTTGGTTCTCTGTTGTTTTACTTAGTGGGTTTAGATTCGTTTGGGTTTGTAGTTCATTTTGAGTTGATAAAGTTCTGATTAGTTCAAGATCATTTTTCTTGTGAAAGTTTGAATCTTTGTGGTGGTTCGATGGTAAACAGTGTGCCTGGGGTGCCCTTTTTAGTTTGTGGGTACTTTGATTCGTATGAATCTATGTTATCTAAGATCCCATGTAGGCTATGCAAAAGAACAGATTTATTTTTCTTTAACGTTGGTTGTTTACAATTTTATGCTTTCTTTGCACACTAATATTACAGTCTTATAGCATAGAAATTTTCTCAGACTCTGACATTATCTGTAGTTTCGTGCTTAGTTTTGGATAATGAGGGTTTCAAAGAGATTACTGGATCCATAAGTAATAAATCCAAGAATACAAATCAAACTTTTTGGCCCATTATGTATGAGTGTAAGTTGGAGATGAGAAGAGAGACAACGAACGTGACCGTTTGCAATTGGGTTAACCCCATATTGGGAGCTGCGGGGCTGTAAAATATGGCTCTGATAATGAAGAATTAGATGGTTGAGCAACTCAGTTGTGTTATCTTTTTGGTTTTCTGAGAGGGCGTATCTGCTGTGAGTGTCTTGTTGATTTTCTTTTTAGTTTTTAGTTACCCTGAAATCTGTGGATTGGACCAGAGTGTTTTAGGGAAAAAGTTATACAAAAACCAAGGGTGGGAAAATTTAATGTAGTAATTCTTTAATTGTATGAGAATATATCCAAGATTTTACAAAATTTTCAGAAGCCTAAAAATCAGTGCTTCACTCTTATTTTATTGACGAGACCTTTTGCCAAATGAAAATGTAAAATTTTCTCAACCCTCCCATTGATTGCTAGAAAGAGGATAAGTGAAGAAACTTGATCGGTAATGCTGAATAAAAGGGAATAAAAGATATTGGGAATCTATATATATATACATAGCAAAAATTGCTTAGTAAATGAAAAAAAAATGCTGAAAACTGGAGTAACTTGCATGATAACAGATTAGGAAGGTTTTACTCTTTTACTTTTGTTTGCATACATATTTTCTCCTCCCTTGAAGAGGAAGAGAAATTTTATGCATCACTATTTTTCTCTAGATTCCAAGATTTCTTTCGCAGTGTTTTGAGGGTTATAACCCTATCTCTCTTCTGTTCCATTTTCTAATGTTTCATGTAGAATTTAAATTTTGTCATTAGTATCACCCTACATATTAACACTACTTCTGTTGTCAAGAATTATGCGTGGTTAAAAGATGTTGTTTCTGATATTATAGGAGTTCTATCTCTCATTTCCTGAAACATTCGTCTTGAAAATTTACCATGTTTGTCATTTAACATTTGAAACTTTATATGTTTGTTATGTTATAAGTGGGCTGCTTATCTCTTTATTTAAGTGTTTATTACTGTTTTTTTACATATGTGAAGCCTGAATTTGTAGGTTTTGCTGCAATGGATTCAACTCTGAATTCGGAACGCCGGCCATTTTCAATTAAACTATGGCCTCCAAGCCAAAATACAAGGCAAGTGCTCGTGGACCGGATGATAAACAATCTTAGCACTAAATCCCTTTTCACTGAGAAGTATGCCTTGCTCAGTAGGGAAGAGGCTGAGCAAAATGCAAAACGAATTGAGGATGTGGCTTTTGCCACTGCAGACCAGAACTATGAAAAGGAACCAGATGGAGATGGAAGTTCTGCAGTGCAGCTTTATGCCCGGGAATGTAGTAAGCGCCTGATGGAAGTTCTTAAAAAAAAACCTAGAAGCAAGGAGGACAGCAAAGTGACATCCGACCCTACACCCACTCAAACTCTGTTTGATATATCTAAAGGTATCCGGGCCTTTATTGAGGCCGAGGAAGCTGAGAAACTTTTGAAGCCATTGACGGAGCCAGGGAATACTTACTCCAAAATATGTTTCAGCAATAGAAGCTTTGGCCAAGGAGCAGCCCATGTTGTTGAGCCCATATTGGTTTCCCTTAAGAATCAGTTGAAAGAAGTTGACCTATCAGATTTTATAGCAGGGAGACCAGAGGCAGAAGCTCTTGAAGTCATGAATATCTTTGCAGCTGCCTTGGAAGGTAGTGCGTTGGAGTCTCTGGATCTCTCTAACAATGCCTTGGGTGAGAAAGGTGTTAGGGCTTTTGGGGCACTCCTCAAATCACAAAGATGCTTGGAGGAACTCTATTTGATCAATGATGGCATTTCAGAAGAAGCTGCTCGAGCAGTTTGTGAGTTGATTCCTTCCACAGAGAAGCTTAGAGTCCTCCATTTTCATAATAATATGACGGGAGATGAAGGGGCAATTGCTATTTCTGAGGTCGTGAAGCGTTCTCCCCTATTGGAGGATTTCCGTTGCTCCTCCACTAGGGTAGGCTCTGAGGGAGGAATTGCCTTATCTGAAGCACTTGAGACTTGTACCCATCTAAAGAAGCTGGATTTGCGGGACAACATGTTTGGGGTAGAAGGTGGAGTTGCATTGAGCAAAGCTCTCTCCAAGCATGAAAGTTTGAAAGAGGTTTACCTTAGCTACCTGAACTTAGAAGATGAGGGTGCAGTTGCAATTGCTAATGCTCTCAAGGAATCAGCTCCTTCACTTGAAGTCTTTGACATTGCTGGAAATGAGATAAAAGCTAAATCTGTTCCTGCTATTGCAGCTTGTATAGCAACAAAGACACTTCTCTCCAAGCTGAATTTGGGTGAGAATGAACTCAAGGATGAAGGTACTATTCAGATCAGCAAAGTGTTAGAGGGTCTTCCCCAGTTGAAGGAAGTTGATATGAACACCAACTTAATCAGGAGAGCTGGGGCTCGGGTGTTGGCACAAGCTCTGGTTCAGAAGCCTGGTTTTAAGTTGCTGAACATCAACGGAAATTTCATCTCTGATGAGGGCATAGATGAGGTGAAGGATGCATTCAAGAAATCTCCTGATATGCTTGGGTCTTTGGATGAGAATGATCCTGAAGGAGAAGATGATGACGGTGATGATGACAAAGAATCTGAAAAGGGTGAAGGCAATGAGGATGAATTGGAATCAAAACTGAAGAACCTTGAAGTTGGCCAAGAAGAATAGAGTTCCTCTTATGCTTAGTTGTCTTTTCCTTTTCTAGTTAAGGTTCCACAGAGTTCTTACCCTCTTTAACATCAATGACTGTAAGGCATATTTGGAGGTTTTAGGATGACCATTCTGTTGAATCTTATTATGCACCAGTTGGGCACAACTGTTTTGTGGAGCAGTGTGATGACACTGACAGGTGTTAGTAGAATTGGGTTTAATTGGATCTTTTATTGTCCTATTTTTAGTCAGTTTATCTTCTGTTTTTGTGTTTGCTTGTTTGGAACCTTATCAGCGTAGTAATCTGCATCTCTCTATTCTTAAAATAGATGCGGCAGTTGATCATTTCTGAAGTTGCTTTCTTTGGCATGCAAAATTATATGCATGTCAAAAGAAAATGCAAATTATATGACCTGATTTTATGATTCTGAATTATGCAAATTTTGTAATTATATGCTTATCTGGTGATTTTGAACTGAATTATTGTTTTTTGGATGACTAAATGCTAGGAATGCTTGTATTAGGCCATCTCCAATGTAAAAGGGGCTAAACCCAAGTTTCCTTCTTTCAAAATACAACTATACATGCATTGGACTCAATAGATTTTTCTCCAACCCTACAAACTCAAAATTTGAGTCCGCAAATTTATTAAATTGTTTAAGAATGACGTATAAGATGTGGATGTTAGAAGTCGTAAAACAAGAAAAAGAGAAAATAAAAACTAAATACATAGACTCCTAGGAGTTCTTTTCTTTTTGTCCATCATCGTGATGAAGGAACTGTAGATTTAAGCAACGTTTTAAAAAACTGGTAGCGCCATTGAAATTGACTGCGCATAGATTCCCTTACGCACACAATTTCAAGAAATCCCAATCAGTACTTTAAAAAGCAAAACAAACAAACAAATTTTTCCGAGCAAAAAACTCTGTTAAATATTTTCTATGAGACAAATGCAATCTTATTGTTAAAACTCTCTAATTAAATTTAAACCAAAAGATAATCAATTTATACATTTCCCTACCACAATTATTCTTTGATACATGGGGTGCAGACATCTTAGATTCATTATCCAACCACAGTGCCTATTGAGCCTGACAATGAGAATGGAAGGTGCTTTTGATAATTTTGAACTCATTCACGTTGCTGCTCATAACTGCTAGACTTTATACAAGAACCAGAGCGTACGGAGGTTAAGTCGGCATCACCATGACCAGATCAGTCTACAAGGTCATGAAATGTTTGCTGCGCTGTGACGTAAACTAATTAGCTGAAAGCTAGTCATTCCTCAAATCCATGTACAAAATCAGCAGCTATAATAATGCCTTGTAAATATTCTATCTTGGGGGTTTGCTGAGCCAATTTCATGAAGCCCATCCATTTCCCCTTCCATTGGAACTTTGCCCTCTAGCATCGGAGGACGAACTTGTGTTACCATAGCTTGATCTCTTCTTTCTGTGTATCTTGAATGTCAATAGAGGCCCATTCAAACCACTTCCTCCCGCTACGTGACTTTCATGTTCCTCTATTTTTGGTCCTTCAGACTTGTGTCTCTTTGAGGCTGGGGTCAAACCATAGGCATCTTCACTAGCTCCCTCGTTCACCGAGGGCAGATCTTCATTCAATTTTGTGATCTTTTCCTCTGCCCCAGCTTTATCACTAACTAATACACTGGTATCAGATGGAAGATGATGTCTTCTCTTTCCTTTACCTGAGAGCTTTGATAAGTCTGCTCCATTTTCTACGGCTTTCATCCACTGTAAATCACTAAGACCATCATCGTATGACTGTACCTCCTTTCTTCTCCGCTTTCCTGTGATGCTACTGCTATCAAAGCCTTTGGTTGCAGTTTGCTTTTCACGTGCTGAATATGCCCACTCAGGAACCTCATGGTCTTCCATAAGGCGACATCTGTAGTTCTCCTTTCGCCTTCTCTCCTCATCCATTTTCTCAAACAGCCAGAACTCCTCATCTGATCTGGCAGCGAGGCGGTTGATTTCTCGCTCGCTTGGCACGTCTGTCCCAAGTGAGCTTGTACCCTTGCGCATGATTTCCTCCAGCATGTCTCTCCTGTCCTGAGCTGCAAACACAAGATACGTCTTTTGTCAGATTACAACCTTAGTGGACTGTAAAATAAAGATAACATGCTCATCTTAACCATGCAGGAATCCGACTCAATCTCTGATGCATACCCGTGCTACCTTACTGCGAGTGGGAAAAATCAGTTTTGGTCCTGTGCCTTATGTGTTGTCAACAGAAAGCTCTAGACATATAACAGATGAGACTTAGTGTAGCACTTCTAATTTGCTTCTATTATTGACCTTGGAATGGTATGCAGGTGTATAATGAAACCACAGTTATATGAACATATGCATATATGCAGAACATGTGCAGGCAAAGTAATGCTACCCACTTTAAAAACAGGGTAAGCGATTCTTATACTCCCATTTTATCCATTTGCACTCCTCCCTCTTATTTCATGCTTTGGTAATGGAAACATCAAAGGAGAATGAAAGCACAAAAACAAAGGGAGGAGTGCAAATGGACAATGGGATTGTTAAAATCACTGCCCTTAAAAAACGCTACCCTAAATAATGAGTGAATGCTGTTGTGCTGAAGCAGACCTACTAGAAGGAATGACATCATAACAGATTCTTGTGTATGAAATTCAAGTACAACAAACCTGTGGAAGTTGTATTAAATAGTCCAGCCTGGATGACCTTGGCATCTATGCCCATCTTCTGTTTAGCACGCTCTAAAATTACTTCTTCAATTGATCCAACACTAACCAACACAAACACCCTAACTTCTTTCTTTTGACCTATTCGATGGGCCCGATCCTCTGCCTGTTGGTCCATCTGAGGATTCCAATCACTGTCAAAAATTACTACCGTATCTGCTGATTGTAAGTTCAAACCAAGACCTCCAGCACGAGTACTCAAGAGAAACATGAAGTAAGGAGAGTTTTCTGCGTTGAATTTCTTTAGCAATGTCCCTCTTTCCTCAGTTTTAGTTGAACCATCCAGTCGAAGATACTTAAAGTCGTGAAGTTGCAGATAAACTTCAAGAATGTCCATGAGACGAGTCATTTGTGAGAAAAGAAGGACTCTGTGCCCAGCTCTGTGGAGTTTTGGAAGTAGACGATCAAGTAGTTCAAATTTTCCTGATGCTCTGATTATCTCCTCCTTTCGCCACATGTTATAGTCTCCCACAACAAAAAGGTATGGGTGGTTACAACACTTCCTGAGCTGCATTGTTAGGTTCTGCAAGCTCTTTGATTTCCCAGAACCTAAAAACAAGGTCTCATCAGTAAAGTCTGACTGAATCAATAATGATAGCAATGTTTAATCTGCTTGTAAGAATGTTAACTGTTCACATTTGCAACTAGCCTTATTTTTTAATCTTATTTTCAATTTAATTTCGTGTAACATTAGGGATGGGGGTGATATTGGATATGCAGATCAGGGGATGGAGGTTACAAACCATTATCTAGCCCAACTCTGCCCACATCTGTAACTTGTTGATAATATACTTTCTGCCACGCTGACATGTCACATTTCAGTATGACTTGAGATTTTCCAGGAAGGAATTTCTCCACCTCATCTTTTTTCCTCCTCAATATGAATGGCCTTATAACCTAAAACATAAACATATTTAAATTAAATAAAGTCAACAAAAACGAAGATCAACAGAAACTAGGAGCAAGACCCACTTGATGCAGACGGCGAATGATCAATAACTGTTCTTCATCGGTAAGAGATAAACTACCCCGATCCGCAAAAGGTGCATTAAACCAATCCTCAAAATTCTGAACTGAATTAAAAATGTGAGGGAGAAGGAAATTAAGCAGTGACCACAACTCCTGCAAGCTATTCTGTATTGGGGTACCAGTCAACAGAAGTCTGCGTCGCATATCATATCTGCGAACAAGTAAAAATTCAATAAAGAAACCCTCGTATTATTTTAAAGTCTTGAAAGAAAAAAGAAACAAGCGGACATGGACCCCAAAATTATACCGTTTGATAATGTTGCAGAGAAGGAAATAACTTGGATTTGATCTTTATGAAAGTACAAACAATTTTTATTTTTTGGACTAAGAGCTGATTATATTACTTGAGAAAACAGAATGAAATAAAGAACAAGAGCATGTGGTCAAGAAGATCGCACCAAGCAAACAGATACAGAATCAAAGAAAAAGAGAAATCAAAGGCTCAAGTGAGCCAGAGCTTCCCCACACAGAAAACTAATAGGTAGACTTCCAATCTAGCCAAATTTAAAAGAGAGGGTCTCCCCTGAACTTAGAGGATACACACGCGCATAAAACAGACCATAAACGAATTCTGTCCGAAAGCTCCTCAAAACCTGCTCCAGCATAATCTTCAAAATCCTTTGTTTCCCTCCATCCATACCACCCATAACACAGCCATGATCATGCAGCTCCGCATAACTTTGGCCTTCTTACCCTTAACAGTTTATGTGTTTCACTAAGAAAAGAAAAGCAGTCCCTTGGACCTACCCTGCTAATACTCATCTCCCTGACCAAATTCAACCACAGACCCAAGATCACAAGGCAATGAACTTGTGACCGACTGATTCCAACCCTATATACAAACTTGAAATATAGAAAACATAACTTGGCAACTCCATGGACCTTTATAATCAGTAAATCAAATATATGACCAACATTTACTTTTACCTCCGAACAGCAAAAAATCCAAACTGAAAATTCTAGCATTCCTTTTTGGGGCCAAGGCTCCAACATATTTTACACAAGTTAGCCTCACATAGACCCTTGCATGGTAGACAGTCTCAATCTTTACATTTCATGAATGTTGGGAGTCTAGGGACTGTAAACTAGCCCAGGACCCTCAGAGGACAATCACATTGGTACTATTACATTTTTACATTAAAATCATATGACAGCACAACGAAGGATAATCACTGATTAAGATAGGTTAAGGACTGCTCTGGCTGCCATCAGATACATTTTATGTTGTTACGCGATCTGCAAGAAAAAACTC